ATGGACCAAATTTGGGAACCGGAAGAGGTAAGGAGTCCGAAATGTAGCTTGTGCCTCCACATTGTGGGAACTTACTTGTAGTGTATATGATGAACTAGACGGACCCATACTTACCCAAACATGGATTAATAGGTTCTATACATGACTATGAGGAGAAACATGACTGAAACGGTCTCAATCCAAGGGAGGAACATCAAATGGACCAAATTTGGGAACCGGAAGAGGTAAGGAGTCCGAAATGTAGCTGTGCCTCCACATTGTGGGAACTTACTTGTAGTGTATATGATGAACTAGACGGACCCATACTTACCCAAACATGGATTAATAGGTTCTATACATGACTATGAGGAGAAACATGAGTGAAACGGTCTCAATCCAAGGGAGGAACATCAAATGGACCAAATTTGGGAACCGGAAGAGGTAAGGAGTCCGAAATGTAGCTTGTGCCTCCACATTGTGGGAACTTACTTGTAGTGTATATGATGAACTAGACGGACCCATACTTACCCAAACATGGATTAATAGGTTCTATACATGACTATGAGGAGAAACATGATGAAACGGTCTCAATCCAAGGGAGGAACATCAAATGGACCAAATTTGGGAACCGGAAGAGGTAAGGAGTCCGAAATGTAGCTCTGTGCCTCCACATTGTGGGAACTTACTTGTAGTGTATATGATGAACTAGACGGACCCATACTTACCCAAACATGGATTAATAGGTTCTATACATGACTATGAGGAGAAACATGAGTGAAACGGTCTCAATCCAAGGGAGGAACATCAAATGGACCAAATTTGGGAACCGGAAGAGGTAAGGAGTCCGAAATGTAGCTCTGTGCCTCCACATTGTGGGAACTTACTTGTAGTGTATATGATGAACTAGACACCCATACTTACCCAAACATGGATTAATAGGTTCTATACATGACTATGAGGAGAAACATGAATGAAACGGTCTCAATCCAAGGGAGGAACATCAAATGGACCAAATTTGGGAACCGGAAGAGGTAAGGAGTCCGAAATGTAGCTCTGTGCCTCCACATTGTGGGAACTTACTTGTAGTGTATATGATGAACTAGACGGACCCATACTTACCCAAACATGGATTAATAGGTTCTATACATGACTATGAGGAGAAACATGAATGAAACGGTCTCAATCCAAGGGAGGAACATCAAATGGACCAAATTTGGGAACCGGAAGAGGTAAGGAGTCCGAAATGTAGCTCTGTGCCTCCACATTGTGGGAACTTACTTGTAGTGTATATGATGAACTAGACGGACCCATACTTACCCAAACATGGATTAATAGGTTCTATACATGACTATGAGGAGAAACATGATGAAACGGTCTCAATCCAAGGGAGGAACATCAAATGGACCAAATTTGGGAACCGGAAGAGGTAAGGAGTCCGAAATGTATCTTGTGCCTCCACATTGTGGGAACTTACTTGTAGTGTATATGATGAACTAGACGGACCCATACTTACCCAAACATGGATTAATAGGTTCTATACATGACTATGAGGAGAAACATGATGAAACGGTCTCAATCCAAGGGAGGAACATCAAATGGACCAAATTTGGGAACCGGAAGAGGTAAGGAGTCCGAAATGTATCTTGTGCCTCCACATTGTGGGAACTTACTTGTAGTGTATATGATGAACTAGACGGACCCATACTTACCCAAACATGGATTAATAGGTTCTATACATGACTATGAGGAGAAACATGATGAAACGGTCTCAATCCAAGGGAGGAACATCAAATGGACCAAATTTGGGAACCGGAAGAGGTAAGGAGTCCGAAATGTAGCTCTGTGCCTCCACATTGTGGGAACTTACTTGTAGTGTATATGATGAACTAGACGGACCCATACTTACCCAAACATGGATTAATAGGTTCTATACATGACTATGAGGAGAAACATGAATGAAACGGTCTCAATCCAAGGGAGGAACATCAAATGGACCAAATTTGGGAACCGGAAGAGGTAAGGAGTCCGAAATGTATCTTGTGCCTCCACATTGTGGGAACTTACTTGTAGTGTATATGATGAACTAGACGGACCCATACTTACCCAAACATGGATTAATAGGTTCTATACATGACTATGAGGAGAAACATGAATGAAACGGTCTCAATCCAAGGGAGGAACATCAAATGGACCAAATTTGGGAACCGGAAGAGGTAAGGAGTCCGAAATGTAGCTCTGTGCCTCCACATTGTGGGAACTTACTTGTAGTGTATATGATGAACTAGACGGACCCATACTTACCCAAACATGGATTAATAGGTTCTATACATGACTATGAGGAGAAACATGAATGAAACGGTCTCAATCCAAGGGAGGAACATCAAATGGACCAAATTTGGGAACCGGAAGAGGTAAGGAGTCCGAAATGTAGCTCTGTGCCTCCACATTGTGGGAACTTACTTGTAGTGTATATGATGAACTAGACACCCATACTTACCCAAACATGGATTAATAGGTTCTATACATGACTATGAGGAGAAACATGACTGAAACGGTCTCAATCCAAGGGAGGAACATCAAATGGACCAAATTTGGGAACCGGAAGAGGTAAGGAGTCCGAAATGTAGCTCTGTGCCTCCACATTGTGGGAACTTACTTGTAGTGTATATGATGAACTAGACGGACCCATACTTACCCAAACATGGATTAATAGGTTCTATACATGACTATGAGGAGAAACATGAATGAAACGGTCTCAATCCAAGGGAGGAACATCAAATGGACCAAATTTGGGAACCGGAAGAGGTAAGGAGTCCGAAATGTAGCTCTGTGCCTCCACATTGTGGGAACTTACTTGTAGTGTATATGATGAACTAGACGGACCCATACTTACCCAAACATGGATTAATAGGTTCTATACATGACTATGAGGAGAAACATGAATGAAACGGTCTCAATCCAAGGGAGGAACATCAAATGGACCAAATTTGGGAACCGGAAGAGGTAAGGAGTCCGAAATGTATCTTGTGCCTCCACATTGTGGGAACTACTTGTAGTGTATATGATGAACTAGACGGACCCATACTTACCCAAACATGGATTAATAGGTTCTATACATGACTATGAGGAGAAACATGAATGAAACGGTCTCAATCCAAGGGAGGAACATCAAATGGACCAAATTTGGGAACCGGAAGAGGTAAGGAGTCCGAAATGTATCTGTGCCTCCACATTGTGGGAACTTACTTGTAGTGTATATGATGAACTAGACGGACCCATACTTACCCAAACATGGATTAATAGGTTCTATACATGACTATGAGAAACATGATGAAACGGTCTCAATCCAAGGGAGGAACATCAAATGGACCAAATTTGGGAACCGGAAGAGGTAAGGAGTCCGAAATGTATCTCTGTGCCTCCACATTGTGGGAACTTACTTGTAGTGTATATGATGAACTAGACGGACCCATACTTACCCAAACATGGATTAATAGGTTCTATACATGACTATGAGGAGAAACATGACTGAAACGGTCTCAATCCAAGGGAGGAACATCAAATGGACCAAATTTGGGAACCGGAAGAGGTAAGGAGTCCGAAATGTAGCTATGTGCCTCCACATTGTGGGAACTTACTTGTAGTGTATATGATGAACTAGACGGACCCATACTTACCCAAACATGGATTAATAGGTTCTATACATGACTATGAGGAGAAACATGATGAAACGGTCTCAATCCAAGGGAGGAACATCAAATGGACCAAATTTGGGAACCGGAAGAGGTAAGGAGTCCGAAATGTAGCTTGTGCCTCCACATTGTGGGAACTTACTTGTAGTGTATATGATGAACTAGACGGACCCATACTTACCCAAACATGGATTAATAGGTTCTATACATGACTATGAGGAGAAACATGAGTGAAACGGTCTCAATCCAAGGGAGGAACATCAAATGGACCAAATTTGGGAACCGGAAGAGGTAAGGAGTCCGAAATGTAGCTCTGTGCCTCCACATTGTGGGAACTACTTGTAGTGTATATGATGAACTAGACACCCATACTTACCCAAACATGGATTAATAGGTTCTATACATGACTATGAGGAGAAACATGATGAAACGGTCTCAATCCAAGGGAGGAACATCAAATGGACCAAATTTGGGAACCGGAAGAGGTAAGGAGTCCGAAATGTAGCTCTGTGCCTCCACATTGTGGGAACTTACTTGTAGTGTATATGATGAACTAGACGGACCCATACTTACCCAAACATGGATTAATAGGTTCTATACATGACTATGAGGAGAAACATGAATGAAACGGTCTCAATCCAAGGGAGGAACATCAAATGGACCAAATTTGGGAACCGGAAGAGGTAAGGAGTCCGAAATGTAGCTTGTGCCTCCACATTGTGGGAACTTACTTGTAGTGTATATGATGAACTAGACGGACCCATACTTACCCAAACATGGATTAATAGGTTCTATACATGACTATGAGGAGAAACATGACTGAAACGGTCTCAATCCAAGGGAGGAACATCAAATGGACCAAATTTGGGAACCGGAAGAGGTAAGGAGTCCGAAATGTAGCTCTGTGCCTCCACATTGTGGGAACTTACTTGTAGTGTATATGATGAACTAGACACCCATACTTACCCAAACATGGATTAATAGGTTCTATACATGACTATGAGGAAAACATGAATGAAACGGTCTCAATCCAAGAGGAACATCAAATGGACCAAATTTGGACTTTTGTGCAAGATGCTTTCCTATATTATACCTATGCTTTATTCTGAATTAGTTGTCTTAACTCTGATTATCCCAGGGTTTCGAAATACACTTTCATGCGGTATTACCGTATTACTACTTATGGCCTTTAAGTTACCCTTTTTTTTTAAAAAAAAATTCTAACGAGTTGAGATTGTAAATGATATTGATTTTAATCACTTCCCTATATCACAGTGGCGCATACATGATCCATTGATATATGATTGTGAACAGTGTTGTCTAATTATCATGGAGGAGTCAGGCTTTTCTGTGGTGGAGCTGCGGCGTAGACTCAGGAGTAGAGATATTCGCGTATCAGTTGCAGTGACTCTGAAACAGTTAGAAATGAGGAACCAGATGGAGAAAACGGAGAAGGTTCCCATTCATCTCTTTCTTACTTTCCCTTATGTATATGTAAATGATCTTAGAAATGAGGAACCACACCTGCTTATTTAGATGCCTGCAAGTCAATCACTGGTTTTCAGTCTTTTTTATTTCCTTTATATATTATCTATTTCTCATAGTTGACATGGATGCTTTGTTTGTTGGAATTGACATCACGTGTAATCAGAATAGAGAGAATAAATCAAGCTATATTATGAGAATCATGCTGAAGTAACATATTGAGAAGGACCGTTAAAAAATTTCAGGATCATATATGAGTTTGAGAATACTGTGTAGAGGGTCACTCTTTAAGACTTTACTTAAAGACAGGACAAGGAATTGCACTTACTCATGCCATGATTCTTTTTCAGTCTTCGTTCTTGTGTAGACTGACAAAGAGTTCCATGTCAGAAGGATCTCGCTAGCGGGGATCAAACGTTCTACATGGCTATATATTCTACCCTGACCACAGTATCAGCAGAAGCTCAAAGTCGGTGCCAGAAGAACCTTTAGTTCCACATACGGTAAAGCTCTCTCTATATATATATGACACAAACAACCATCAAAATTTCTTTAACCTGTTCTGTAACTCTCTGCATAACTTTTGACAGATTATTCAACAAAAGAGCCGAACAAGACCAGCTCCTGCGAAGTTCCCCCGCCTCGCAGTCACAGGAGAGATCAGCAACATTACAAGCGACCGTGGTGGAGGAGGAGACGAGCAAGAGGCAACGAACAACCTTTTACGAGATTCTAAAGATGTCTTCGAAGAAAACTTGCTTCACTTCAGGGGAGACAGTGATAAGAAGAAGCCACACCGACTCCTTATTGGCTGCTTTCAAATTAGATAAGGATGCAGTTATGACGAATCCACAAGTACACCCTCTTCATCTTAATAGAATGCATTCTTGTGAAATCATTTTGTCCATTTTTTCATTGGTGGAGTCGTAAGTGTTTTTGCTATCTGCCTATTTTCAATTTTTGTTTTTCTGAGATCATGGCTGGTCCCTTGCAAAACCCAACTTTAACTTTTCCAAAAGAATGGTTTTATCACGGGTTGTTCTTCGAAGTCACAGTTAGATAGCTGCATCATTTCTTTTCATTTGTGCTCCAGGAGATGATTATTTCAGTGTCGAAGGTCACTCTGAACAAGTATGATAACAGCAATGGCTCTGAAGGATCTTCTATAGACACGGATTTTGGTATCTCCTACTTCAAACTCTCTTTTTTTCTCCTTCTGGCACCATGTGTTAGATCTGTGAACTTACTAAAGTGTTATGCTCTGCAGATGGCTTTGAAAATGATAATGAAGGTAAATAGTCTATTAAGGAGGCGAATGAAAGCTTTATGGAATCTTACTCTAGAGCAATGAATGAGGAACTGAAAAACTCAAATCTTGAGAAAAGATTTGAACATGTGAATTAACCTTCTTCTAAGCAGAACGAGTAAGTCACACTATCTTGGATTCATTTTGTTCGTGAATAAAAATATTTAGAGACTTTGAATTTAATGTTGGTATGGTATCTATGTGCATCTGCAGGAATCATCAAAGGGTTTAGATGAAGAGGAATTTACACCTGATGCTGATTTCAAATGACAATTCTAAACTTGACGCTGTTAACTGTTTGGTTCCATTGTTAAAAGTATCTAAGCAAGACCATTCATTGCACTGAACTTCAAATGAACTCAGCTGTCTCTAGCCGACAATTATTCTCTACCTACTTCTGTTTCATTCCATTGAATTCTATAAAATGATTTCATAAGATTATAAGATTAGGACTTTTTACATTTTCCCTTCCTATTGTAATCCCTTAGGTTTTCACGATTACAATAACTCGAATCCAAGATCTAATATAAGAGAGTTGGCCTTTTTTTGTATTATAAATTTGCTGATTCTAAGTTTGAGAGCTTCAAACGAAATGCAGGAAAAGGTGACAAAAAGGCTGTGATGTCGAGGTTAAATCTTTCTTAAAGGTTGTTTGGCTCTCTTCTACCTAACAAGCTCATGTACAAAATGAAAGGATTCCATCGGTTAGTTTATACAATATTAGACTCTACTAACTTTACACACTAATCTTAAAGAAACTCATTGAATTGTCAGGATTACAGTAAAATGAGCTTAGGAATAGGAAATTGCCTTCTGAGAATATGAAATCTCAAAATGTACTCATTAAGAAAACTACACCGTACCACCAATACCCTCCTCACTATGCATTCTTATTTCGTATCTTATCCCAACTCAAATATTTCTTTAGATTACCCAAAAAGGTTAAGGTTTTAGTTAGATCATTTTATCAAGTATGTTCTGACTTTGTAGTTTTTTCTCTATGCTTCGTGCATGCTAGCTGCGTATTTCTATGAGCAATAAAGATGTAATTTTCAAGCGGGAGATGGCGTACGAAACAAATTCAAACATACGTGTTCAAAAATTGAAACTATTTTTAGTTTAATCTTTTTGATAGAAACCGTTAGAGATAGCCGAGATGGCTAATTTTGGAATGAACCTAGCTTCATCAACCTAGATGCGGTTATGTCCCATATATCCAAATTGTTGGGTCCATGAAATTATACAAGCTTTAAAATATAGCCTGCAGTTGTCATACAATCGTAAAAACCTTCGTTTAATGGAAAACATACCTCCTCTTAATGCCGAAACTATATGTCTTCATGTATTATTTCTGCAGCGTTAATGATTGGTTGCTTATTTGGAAAGACTCTGGTGATGAAAAAAACAACAGTCTCTACACTTGTCAGCAACGTTTCCATTGCAGATGAATAACTAAGTGAGTTTTTAGTTTCTTCCATGTTTTTAAGTAGATTATAACATTTAAGTTAGTTTTTATCTTCAGATATAGATCATGGTGCATTATTTGGTTAAGTTAGGGTCTTTATTTTTACATTCTTCTGTTTATTTTAAGTATGTGAGTTTACTTAAACTTATATGATGCACGTTTTTTATTTTTTTATATTTACTCTCTTTCTGGGAGAATATTAAAACTTCCCTAGTATTCTCAGATAATACTATAATAGTTAATAGCTGTATATATTAGGAGTGCTTACGAAATTAGCCACTTGATCACTTGATCACATCATGAAGTGGAAGTTGGGTGTTCGTGTCAAAATTGTAAATTAACCTTTTTTTTTCCTAGAGTATTACAGAGTAAAGAGCAAGAATATGACATCGTTCAGTTACAAAGACAGCTCAAGATCAAGATTGCTGAGACTGATATGTTGAACATCACAATTAACTCTTTGCAAGCAGAAAGGAAGAAGCTTCAAGAAGAGATCTCGCATAACGTTGGTTTGAGAAAAGAGCTTCAAGTTGCGAGAAACAAGATCAAGGAGCTGCAGAGGTAGATCCAGGTCGATGCTAACCAGTTGCTGTTGCCTAAGAAGCATGTCTGCAAAAATGCAACATCTACGCATAGCTAAAATCAACTTATATTTATAATTTCTGGCTTGTTTCGTTTTAGATGTGGAGCTCTTGAAGATGACATCTCACGAAGTACTAATAAAAAGTAACAAGTAAAAGAGACAGAAGCTATGGGATAATACCAGAGCAAGTGCAAGCAAAGTTAACACATGCATCTTCCCTGCCTTGGAAGAGGACATATATTTCTTCACATATGATGATCATACACCTTTTTGTTTTCCATTTACAAATGATCAAACTTAGCAGAATTTGAAAAATGAATTATATCAATATTTGTTTCATCATTGTTTCTCAACTTCAATAATCTCACAAAAATGACATTGCATAATAAAATGAAAAACTCTCCATTGATATAAATCCAAATCTAAAGCAGGACATACATGTATTTTCAAAAATGCAAATTAGTGAACGTATCATTTTTTACTAACCATTAAAAATTTGCCTTAAAGTCAAATTTTCACCAAGACACATGATTACTCGAAACTACTAAGTTCTTCATAAAAGATAGTTATACATTTTTTGTTTTTCAAATACATTGCAGTTGGAAAATGCGAGACTCATAATTTCCGTTAACAAAATGTAACTTCATAATTTCCTACGGAAACTTCAATTTAGAAATTTCTGAACAAATATCTAAAAGTAATCTCTACATAAATATAACTAAAAAAAATTAATGAGAAAATATAATAACACTATCCGCACATAGCGGCGCCGGCTTTGACCTAGTTGCTCTTTAAAAAGCAAAGATATCCTTAGTGTAATCAAATGAAAATACATTAAGGATTCTTTGTTTTTTGGCATATTTGTCCATAAAATGAAAATACATTTTTGGTATGAAACTTCTAGAAAATGAAAATGCAAGTCAAACCCAAAATGCAATTTAAGATTTCTGATAATGCTTATATTGGGGGTGACTTTTGAGATGAGTGATTTGACTTGTATATATTTGAGATGAGAGTTTTTCTTGCAAAAATAATATAGTTCGAGGTTTTTTTTTCACAAATCCCAAAATAAAAACATTCCTTTTGCGTTTGACGATTACGTTTGCATTTTGTAAAATAGAATAAAGCAATAATAAAGTTTCTCATACAGACACAACCACAGTTTGTGTGTGAAACACTTGACCATAGGTCTAAAACACTTCCACCAAAACCTTACCCTCTTTCACATCAATTTTGTTTTGTATATGAAACAAAAAAAAATTAAGAGAAAATTGGCAAAATACACAGGAATGGGGGAGACTTTGTCCCAATACACATTTTTGTGAGATTTTGACAGATTTTTGTCACAATACACATTTACTAAACTTATAATCCAAATTTGCCCTTAAAATTGATTAATCTATTAAGGGTTTACTTTGGGTATCTTTTCTTTTAAATAATATAATTAACATTAAATCTAACACAAAATGGTCCTCATCCACAACTCTTTTCTTCCCAGACAGAACTTTTTTTCTCCGATATTCTTCTAGTCCAAATTTCTTCTTCTCTTCTCCCAAAGTCGGAGCTCATTTCTTCTCCGTCGTTGCCGTCTCTTTCTCTCTGTCTCTGGTGACAAGTGAGGATTTTGATATTGTAATCAAATTGTGTCTCACAATCTCAAATTGATTTGCAACATAGTAAGTAAGAAGAAAAAGAGAAGAAGAAGAAGATGGAGATGACGAGTAAGAAGATGAAGAAGATGGAGATGACGAGTAAGAAGATGGGAATCGAGACTCACATCGTGTGAGAAGTTGGGAGGAGAAGAAAAAGGAAACAAAATATTCAAAAAAATATTCTCTAAAATTTTCGGTAGAAGATGATTTCTACATGTGGTAGAAGACGGTTTGTAGCAGAACACAAGCTTTACACACGTGGTAGAAAAAGTGTTTTTTAGTAGAAATCGAACTCCACCAATGATAAGATATAATGTATGTCGTAGAACACAAAACCTACATCGGAGTAGAACGCTGCGTTTCTCGTAGACAACAAATTCTAGAACATGTAGAGGATTGTGTCTTCAGTAGAACATATGTTCTACCAAATTCACAAAATTGCAGAACATAGAGTAACAGGTAGAAGTAATATTCTACTAATAGTAGATGTATATATAAATTATAGAAATTGTGTTCTATTGCAAGAAGATGTGTGTATAAATGGCAGACATAGAATTCTAGCAGTAGTAGATGTAATAAAGATGAGTAGAATACATAATCTACTTTGAATTTCAGAGCTGGTAGAAGAAAACTTCAATATATTTTAAAAATATCAGATTTTTGAAACAAAATTGTGAAAATATTCTAAAAAGTCTTAAGATCATTTATCTGAATTTTAGAAATATTTTTGGTTTCTGAAAGACACTATTTCATATTTTAAAATATATTAAGAATATTAAAGACAAAATAGGTAAAAGTATGAAAATGTGTATATGGACAAACCCTCCTTTTTTTCTGTGTATAATCACAATTCCCCCAAAAAATAATCAGTTTCAGCTTTTGACGATCCTCTAATAGAGAAGCTGTTCTTTGGCTTGGTATGAGGAAAAAAATAGGAACAAAATTTTCAAAAAGCGAAAACGAATTCAAGTGCTTTATGAATCCACATTTTCAATGACCATTCAATAATCATTATAGAAACTGTTCTTCTTGTTTTGGTATCAAAATGGGTCCCAAATAGAGACTTCCATATTAATTTTCTGGAAGTTTCATACCAAAACTGGAGTGTGCAAAAAATCATCATTGTATATAGTTTGTATTTTGCAACTTTCTGAAACAAACACATAGGAACATACCCACTTTAAAGTTTTTAAAAAGGTTTTTGTGTGGTTATGGCTGGTTTCAAGTCTCTCTCAACAAACCGTCTTCAAAATCTCTACTTCCCTTCTTCTATTTCTACGCATGCCTACTTGAGTTCTCATTAACAGACCAAATAAACGCAATAAGATTAGGGAACCATCACATTTGTTAAGATTTTCCTTCATGAAGTGCCAAAAGGCTCAAAACTCACATTTGCTATACTAACTAAGAGAGCAAATTAGTACAGAGTGGAGCTATTTTCACAGAAGGACATATAAAACAAAGAACACTAGTGATATACATCAAAGGAGAAGAAGGCCCTGAAGTTACTATAATAATAACAACAAAAGGCTCAAAACTCACATTTGCTATACTAACTAAGAGAGCAAATTAGTACAGAGTGGAGCTATTTTCACAGAAGGACATATAAAACAAAGAACACTAGTGATATACATCAAAGGAGAAGAAGGCCCTGAAGTTACTATAATACTCTATAACAACCAAAGGCAATAAACGCACAGAGGCTTATTACTTCCCTTATTGAGTCAAGAACAAGGTGTCACACTGTTTAAACAATCTTATTTTGTAATAAAAAAGAGTAGTAGTATCCAATGAAAAGTTGTCTTACACTGACAATAACTATGGTTGAATCATCATTTGAATAATAAGATACAAACCCAAGTAAAAATTAAAAACGAAAGTAGTAACATGTACCCCAACAAAAAAAAAGTTATCAAAGGTTCTATCTAACTGAGACGGGTGACCTTAAGTTTCTTTGGAAAGCATCAAACATCGCAAAAAAAAAAAAAAAAAAACGAACCCTGAGATATTAAGCCATCCATCAATTTCAAATGCTTGCTACTAGATGGGACTGAGATAGTTTGCAAATCTACCTGTCATTGAAAAACCGGAAAGTTGTTAGAAACTTAAACATGACGGGTCTTTAATTTCCTTTGTCCTCTTTTCCGTTTTAAAAATGTAATATAAATCACAAGGAGCAATGTGTATAGCATGAATCCTTCCAAAACCAAGTTCAAGATATGATAAACATAGGTAATGGGTATGGCTCCTTAATACACAGTCCTAAAGAAGCTCAAACACCTAACAAGTAACACTAAATCTTGCGAAGAAATGAAACTAAAGAGATTGATTATTAGCAGGGACTCAATAACTGAAACAAATCTTGTCCTAGCTAATTGTGTTGTGTAGGTCAATAAGCATAATTCAACCTGAGAGAGGACAATTAATCAATCCAAAAAAAGGCTTTGTCATTACCTTCATAGGAAGTTACATCAGAAGGGAGCTTTGAAACGAGGCAAGCGGCAGCGACAGTGCTGTGAAATGGTTGATGCGTACTTAGTTCTCGCCGCAGAAACCTTTCAGATCCAAATCAAAAATCCAATTTTGTTATCAATGGCATTTACAAACATCTAACACCTGTATTTACATCACGATTTACAGAATTTTCCCAGGAAGACACTGAATTTTACCTGGAAACCGAAGCTTCGATTCGAGTCTGACGAAGAGGCGAAGTGTTGAAATGCGACGACTGGGAATTAGGGTTCGGGACGGAGATTCTAGCTCTTGATGAGATCGAACTTCGTCTAGTAGCGGTTCTGAAGATTGAGCCTACAAAAGTAGACCTAGAAGCGATGCCAATGGCAGCCATTTCTTTTCTCCGATTCAACGCTTCTGCAAATTCCTAAAACTCAGTAAACCCTCTCCCTTAGGAACTGGATAGAATGAACCGTGAAAATTAAACCGGAACAATTCGGTTTTGGTATTCGGTACGATTTCTGGGGCACAACTAAGCGATGGTTTGCGGACAAATTCGAGAGAGGAAATGGTTATCATTGGTTTGACTTGGACGACTAATTAATTAATTTCAACACGTTTCTAACTTGGATATCAAATTAGAACTACTTTTCTCCTGATTTTAATAAAATCGAAACAAGACTCATCACGAACTATTTGGTGCAATTTTGGTTTAGATGGTTTGTATTGGGATGCAGACAACAATAACTGAAGTTGCAGAGGTAAAAAACTGCAAGAACTTTCAATACTCACACAAATATCCTAGAAGAACACTACTACGACCAAGCAAGGTACCCAGAATTTTCTAAATCAGCTCAAGAAACAGAACCAAAAACAATAAAAATCAGTTAGATTCGTCTTCGGTTATCGACTCGGGTTCTCTTGAAGTCCGGTTCTGTTTGCAGATTTTGGCTGCTAGGTTGCAACCTCTTCATGTCACCACTTTCTTGAATCTTCATAAAGTCACATAAAAAAAAAGCAGCCAGCGAAGAAATGGCAAGTTTAGTCCCTGGTCTGAAAATTATATACAAACGCGCTAGGGTCTGAAAAATCTTTACCTTATTGAGTTTGTCCCTGACAGTTCGAACGGTTCGATTCATTGAAGACGACGCAAAGTAGTCCTACACAAATCCAGTTTAAACACCCTAATTAGTTCTCTTTGTTGATTAACTGCGATGGAAAACAGATGACTGATAGATCCAAATCGACATTGGTCAAGTCAGGTGAACTCAAACACACAAAAACACAGACCTGGTCAGATGAAACTCGAGTAACAGGAGCGTTTCTTCTATGGAATTGATAATCCATCTCTCTTTGCAAACTACTACAAGACAAAAGGAAGAAGCAATCGCTCATTCACTAACTCAATGTGTTTATCGATACAAAGAAGAGACTACAGTGAAGTAACCATCTTTATTTTACCTTTGTGGGGAGAAATTGTCTGTTTCGGCTACAGCGTGTCCAGCCAACTTTGTAACTTGAGAGGTGTTCTTGGCTTTCTGGGCTGTTCATATATAGTTGTGAACTATTAATAATGAAATCATCTAAGAGTTTGTATTGTTCCTTTGACATCAACCCCCTCCATGGTTTTATAACCCCCAAAAAAATTATTAATACAATCGAGGTTTAGCTTGTAATGTTTGATTAGAGTACAGTGATTAATTCAGCGTGTGATGTGATGTCGGTTTCCTTATATAAGGAGGAGACACAGTTTCTCTATCCAATTTCTCCAAAAACAAAGACTTAATTGACAGTAAACAGAAAGCTTACGGTTCAATCTTGCAAGCACTTGTTTCCTCCTTGTTTCTAACTTATTCTTTGTGTCATCGAGGCTCTCGAATTGGGGAGCGTATGAAACCTGGAGCCGATTTCCCAAGAAAATTGATTCATCCAACTTCCTCTTTGCAAATCTATCAAAACATAAACATATCTCAAACAAACAAATTCTTCCTATTGGACAACCAAAAATAGAGCAAGAAAAAAGTTCTGCAGATACAAATTCACCAGAGGAGCTGAAATCCAGATCTCATCACACCACAGAACCTACTTAAGCATCTTCTTCTTCATAATCAATCAAACAAAAAGACAAATAGGAATCTCAGTGATCATCGAAGGGAAAGAAGAATCAAAACCTGGCATTAGAGATGAGTTGGAATTTGATCCAGTAAACATCCGTGAACTCCTCACAGTCCTCTGCATCCATAGGTTTACATCTACTCGAATCAAAAAACAAAACAATATCATTCATTATCGATAAAAAATAATGAAGCAAACAAAAATGGAGAGAGAACAATCAAACACTCACTCTTCAACCTCTCCGTAAGTTGTGAATAATCTCATGAGATCATCACCACAACCCAAAGCTGGTACATTACGTACTATCAAGTATCTGAAAACCAACAAAAGGTTCAAAATTCCAATAAAATTGATACTTAGAAGCGCTGAATTAATTAGTAGAAGTACAATTCCGTCAGACCTTGATTCATCGCAAACTGTATAAACCCTAACCGCTGGTTGATCATCTTTACATCGACCCATCTTCTTCTACAGTTCTGGACGTACACTAAAAGGGGAAAACGAAAGTCTGACGAGAAACAGGAAAACTGAACCGAAACCCTAATGTTAAAACGAAACCGCCCGAATCTGAATAAAAAAACTATAGTCGCCGGCGAGATTGAGAAACACAGATTAAGAAACAGTGAAATTTATCCTACGAGAAAGCCAAAATCGAAGAAGATGAATGATTTCAGAATCGTCGAGCCTTTTCTTTTATTTTCTTCAGGATTATTTTTAAAACGACGTGGTTTCGGAATGTGTAAAAGAAAAAAGACAAAACAAGCCCGACTTAACCACCTAAACCGGCGCCAAATTAGCTTGGTCGAACCATCCGCTCAAAATTTTGATAGTCCAAAAAAACAAAAATATAAATTCCACCAAAATTTCAAGATTACAAGAAACTCAAAAAGACATTTTTTTACATCTTCTTCTACAAATTCTTCTCAAGAACATTCACAAGCTTCTCATAAGAATCTCTATCCACAAGCTTCTTCTCTCGCAACATCTCCAACAATCTCTTCGCTTCACCATATCTCCGCTTCCTACAACTCTCGTCAACAAGAGTTCTATACGTAATCAAATCAACGAGCCTCCCATTCTCAATCATCTCCCACAAACACTTGACCGCATCATCAATCTCGCCGCCAAGCGCAAAAGCACTAACCAGAGAGTTATACGACTTGGCATTAGGAACAAAGCCTTTCCCTTTCATCTCATCAAGCAACTCTCTAGCATTAACGGTCCTCCCTTGTGCACACAGCCCGTGTATCAGATAATCATAAGTAAACGAGTTCGGCTCGCAACCGTAAACCACGCTCATCTGATGAAATATCCTAAGAGCATCGTTCACGTGGAGCGACAGCACGAAACCTTTAACCAAACAGTTTAGCGCAAACACGTCTGGCTCGATCCCGTTATCAACCATTTGCCTAAACAAAGACCTCACCGTCTCCATATACATGTGGCTCGTGTAGGAGTTGTTACCTCGACCTAACAAGGCCTTGAAGAGAATGTGGTAGGTTCTAATCGTCGGTCTACATTCCAAGTTCTTGCTAGTGGTCATGTGCCTGAAGATATTCACCGCGCGGATCAACTTGGAGGCTTTCGTGAAGTAGAACAAGATCGAATTGTAGAGGTTTTCGTTGCCAATGTGACCAAGTGAGAGCACCTGGTTCACGATGTCGTCCATTTCTTTGTACATTTTCGCGGCGCCGAGCTTCCTGATGGCGACGTGGTAGGAGCAGTTGGAGTGTTTGAACCTTGGCTGTTGAGACGCCCAGTTGAAAAGGTGGAGACACACTAGTGGGTCTTCTTCGAGTGTTATGGCGTCGGCGAGTTCTTCAGGGGTGAATCTTGGTGGGAGGTTTGAGATCGTTGCTTGGAACTTGGATTCGTTGAGGACTGGTTTTGGATTGTTTCTTTTGCTGATTCTCCTTCTGAGTGAACGCGTTGGGACTTGGTTTGAGTATGACATATACATGGAAACACCTATACTTATGAATTCACAGAGGAAAGACCCTAATCAGATCCACATTTTAAGCATTAACAAGCGATATCGATACAGAGAAAGATGAGATACCTGGAGAAGAAGTGCGTCTAGAACTAAACCAAGTGGCCGCAATGATACTATGGTCGAATCTGTGGCAGAAAACATCTGGATTCGATTAAAACTGGAACTTTTGAGTGAAGATAAGATACATAGAACAAAGACATAAGAGAGTCCAAGATTGTATCATGGGTATTACAAATTAAGGAGAAACAATCCGGTGAAGCTGGAGAATTACCTTGAAATGGAACCTTCGATTCAAGAAGCCGAGACCAAGTGAAATTAGGGTTTCTGTACGGTCGTGCGGACGTGCAGGATGTTGGATGGGAACAGGTCGACCCGGGAAGGTCGACCGCGGGACAATGCTTCCCGGGTCGACCTGCGCACTCGGCCGCGTGTACGGGAGATTGGTATAAGGCGCGTGCGACATGGCTCGACCGCGGGACGATGTTTCCCGGGTCAGCCGACGCGCGGTATGGTACATATCCGGTTTCGGTTGTCTGGACCAGTCTTCACTAAAATGATCATAACTTCATTTATACTCATCCAAATTGTGGAAATCCAATTGCATTGGAAAGCTGATTCACGTAGGCATTCTGGATGTAATCTATTGAGTATAATGTTTTTAAGGCCTTGACAAAGTTGATGTTGCAATATGAAGCAGGATGAAGTCCAAATCCTATGGTTTTGCTCTAAAATGCACATTTCGACCTGCTTAGACTCTTAGTACTATGAAACCATAAAAATACCTTTTTCGATTGAAAACCTATTAGAAAACAAACTAAAATCATATAAAAAGTGTATAAAATAGAGGTATATCAGCCTACTATGCTATATTTGTATTCGTTTGTAGGAGATTGTGGAAAAAGTATCAAGAGTCGCTTTTCCTAACCCACCAAGGCGTACTCGCTATAAGAAAAAACTAGATCCTGACCCGTGCTTGGGAAGCACGGGATGAAAAGTTTTTTAAAAATGTTTTTAAAATATTGATACGGTAATTATGTAAATAAAAGTTTGTTATGTTTGTGATATATGTGATGATGAGTAAGGATTACCATTTTGAAAATATACGTGAGACGAAATTAATATGTATACAAATTGTTATAATTTCATGCAAGATACTGACTCTGAGGCAGTCTTGCTCAAACCGACTTCAATATGTTTTGACAGTATAACATACATATATGTCGTTTTACGGGTTTGCACAGTTTCATTTGGTGAGTTATATTTTGGTTATATACGTATATCTCATTCGGTTTAAAGATTTACCGTTTTGCTGGTTTCATAATGTATGGTTTTGCGGGTTTGATTTGGTGAGTTATAAGTATAGAATTAATATTTCAAATTTGATGACCCCTATTTATTATTTCCATTTGTTCCAAAAGTTAATTCAGTTGCAGAAATCATAAAAGAAAACCAATACTCTTAAATTATAACTCTTTATTTTGGGTATATTCTTAAGTTTAATAGTATAGATTTAATAGTATAGATGATGACCAGAAATAGATTTGGTTCAATTCAGGTAAACCGAGCGATTGAATTCAATTTTGTTCGGTTTAGCTTAACCGACTGATTTACTTTACAATTTGAATTGAGCCGACAATCGCCGTTACCATTTCTTTGTTTCGCGATAACGTCGCAACATCTTTCTCTTTCGACAAAAATCCGGTCGTCTCCTTCATCTTCTTCTTTTTCCTTTATGCTCCTCGCGTTAACACTTCTCCGCTCGTCTTCTTCATCTTCTTTGTTACTGAAATTCTCAATTGACGAAATCTCAATCGATCAATCTCAAACATTTTTGTGGTCTGACCTAATCCAGATCTTTTCAATGTTCGTGAAAATCCTATGCTCTACTCAAAAGAACCCAGCAAAATCGATCTCTGCAGCTGACGGGACTGTGCCCTTGCGTCTCCGTTCTGTAGGTCAGGTAAACCTCTAAGCTCTCGCAATTTCCTTCCCTGTAGCAAGACTTCGATTTTTACTTGCCTCCTAGATCAGATAACACAAATAAGATTAACTTAATTCAGATTAAGATGCAGAATCAAATGAATTGCAAAGTAAATTAAAACTTGTATATGTTCAATCCCGTCTTTGGTGAATTTATTTAACATTTCGTAATCACATTACTTGGTTGTATGTTTGACGGGCTGAGCGATCATGAGTGAAGCACGGATTGAAAAGGAGACATTGCTGTTGAATACCAAAAAACTTCACTGCAAAATACTCAGGTAAATATTTTTCTTGGACACCTTTTCGTATCTCTGTGGTATCCGTTAGAATTATTTTAGGTTTTTAGTTGTGATTTGAATTTGTTACCATAAGGGAAACTTGATTTCTCCGTTAGATTAACAATTTCGTTGTTAAGTTATTTGCATAAACTAAGAACAAATTAAGACAAACGTAAATACAATCACATATATAGGTAGTTCTCAAAAATGGAAAAAAGTTTTAAAACATCATTCTCATAGACTAACAAAGTTCACAACGTTTGAAGAACATAGGATATTTTAAAACCATAGTTGAAATGAAAGGTGCATACTTAGATTCTCATAGCTAAACTGCAAACAAAAGCTCAAGAAATACTTAAACGGAAAAGATCTTCATACTTCGATGGGAATGATTCAGTGATTTATCTCCTTCATTACTCCTTCTCATCATTCATCGCTCAGGTCCTCCTTCTTGGTGCAATCTGCAGTAAACCAGAACCTAAGAATGGTCATAAGGAGCAGCCTACATTCTAAAAAACTTTGTACTTCCGAATTATAATACTTACAATATGTTCGTGAAATGTACCACTTCGTGGTGTCCAGGAGGATCATACTCAAAAGTAGAAATCCCTTCTTCATCTTCGACTTGAATAGGACCTGGTAGTTTATAGAGTAATGGTTGATCATTATCTAGTTGATATTGAGATGCTATAGCGTAAGATGAAGGTAACTTAAGGTTTTCAAAGTTTACTAACCATCTCTTCCAACAACACGCCAATTGGTTAATAGGCATATGTTTGTTCCGGTTTCACCATAACATAGCCAATTACGTTTAAAGAGAACCGCCAAGATCCCCTTTGCACGACAGTTTAGATGATTTCCACTGCATAACCATGAAATTGTGACATTCATAATCATATAACATATCACGTTTCTTAGTTTGGAAAAGATCTAATAAGTAGTTATCAAATTCTTACTCGTTGTCTTCAAGAACAAAGTCAATCGATCCGGTGGTCTTAGGATCATAGTTATGTATGTTTCTAGGCATAGAGTCATCCACTGTGAGGCCGAAATCTGAAACAGAAGATATGACGCCTAGAAAGTCTACAAAAACCGTTTAAAACAAAGTATCAAACTTTAACAAAAGGATATTAATTAATCTTAAAATTTTGCTCTTTGACAATAGTATTAGTAAGGAAAATTAACCTCTAGTGTAAGAAGTTCCATCGTGAACAGTTCCGTTCTTAACATCCTGAAATGGAACCAAATCTAGCGGAATAAAACCATTGAACAATTCTGAAACACCAACTTCTGTGTTTCGCTTGAGAACGATCTCTTTTCTTTGTTTAGTCATACGAATCTCATTCCGGACAATAACAACTGAGAAACCAGTTATCGTGAACCAGTCTCCTTTCTGAAGAAGTCTCTTAAATCTCTTGGCATCAGCAAAATGCTGGACGAATGCATGCATCCTTGTGCCCTGTTTGCAAAAATGAGTAGAGATTAAAACATTAAAATTTGTTACCTCTAAAATACTAATGTTTAACTGTATAGGTTAACTATTCACAAACCTCATCATCAACCACCAGGAAACTGAGGCCTTCACCATTCTCGACATCTAGAGTAGACCACACGTTCTCAACTCTCACTCGAATCATTGAATCATCTCCATTGGGTGTAACCATGGCGAGTCTCTCAAAGTTTGCCATTGAAGTTGTTTTTTAGGTTTCTTTTCTTCTTTACAGAGTTTTGATTGAAATAGGATGAATTTTTCCGCTTATATATGATGTTCTTTCTAGGGTTGCGTTTATGTGGACGGTTGCATTTAATCATGGATTCTTAAATATTTCCTGAAGATTTTCTGAAGATTGAATATTTTCTTGTGATAATTAACTGAATATACGGATATTTTCAGAAAAGGAGAGTTCATTAAGTTGCGGAATCTACGTAACCGGCTAGAGAATCATTACATATTCGAATAGATGCAAAATACACAAGGTAAATGTTTGTTGTTTTTCAATCCTTTCCAATCCGTGTTTTTCTGTTTGTTTCGTTTTAAGTTGTGACCTACTGTTATGTTATTAGAAAAGACTATGATCAAATCAAATCAAACATAGTTAAATAGAAGCCAGAAAAGTTTAAAAAGGTTCCCAAACATGAAACAAAGGTTTAATACATAGTTGTCTTAGATAATAACCATGGACAGAAAAGTAGACGACGTGCATCATCTTAAAATATCTTCCGACATTTTGCTTGAGCATATCGTGAAGTCCATCAACTTTTGTTGTCGGTTCTACAGCCATTGAAATAATCAAATTCCATTTCTTCAACATCTTCTTCGCTGCTGTCTTGTGAGGAAGAGCACCTGCATAGACACATTAGTTTTATTAAGCTGTAATTTTCAAGTTTTAAGCCTTTTCATAATTCTTGTTATCAGAGAGAGTCATAGGTCGAATACTTACATTATCTCAGTGAAATGGTCAACCTCATCAAAGCCAATAGGATTGAATTCAAATCTAGAGATTCCTTCTTCACTTTCGATATGAATTGGATCTACACATATAATTATAACATCCCATCAAGATAAATAATATTTAATAGTATAGATTATTCAAGGAAGGATGTAACTGGAAATTTTCATACACTTACCCGCATCTTCTACAACCCGCCAATCGGTTAAGAGGCATACGATGGTCTCAATTTTACCATAGTAAAGCCAAAACCGTTTAAACTTAGATGCTAAGGCACCCTTTACACGACACTGTATTTGATCCCCACTAAAGTAGCCACAAATAGTGTATGTATTTCAGGTTAGAATTCAGAAACGATACATAACTTATTCCAATTTAGTTTTGTGTAAATATACTTACTCGTTGTCTGTAAGGTGAAATCTATTGTGTTAGTGGTCTTTGGATCATCGTTTAAAGGGTTCCTAGGAATAAGAGACATCTTCCCTGAGCATTGTCTCACGAACTTCAAATATAAACCCTAGAAAGTCTACAAAAAAATGCCAAATAAAATTAACATATTGAAAGCTACTTTTCCTATAGGGTTCCTCGTTTAGATGATACAAAATGTTAAGTAAGAAAAACTAACCTCTAGGGAAAGAAGTTCGTTCATCATTCCAAAAATTCGAAACATATCGTAAGGAACGATGTCAAGCGGAATCCAAGCATCCGAGTCCTCTGCGGGTGTGACGCTGGTGTTGGACGTGAGAGCAATCTTGTTTCTGGCTTCCGTCAAACGGATCTCTGTGTTCACCATGACCACGGAAAATCCGGTTAGAATATTCCATTCCCCTTCATGAAGACATCTCTTGAACCTTTTCATCTGATTACTTTGTTCAACAAAAGCATGCATCTTTGTGCCCTGTTAGAGTAACATAAAGTGTAGTTAGGAACATGATTTTGGAATATAAAGAACTTGTATATGAGAAAATATGAATATGAATAGATCTGTAACATCCCGGTTTGTGATAAATGAGAAGAGGCTTAAGAGAATTGATTTGGCTACCTATGTCAACAAAGTGCACTTACCTTTTCGGTCAAAGGTCTATAAGTAACTCCAGAGTTAAGCGTGCTTGGGCTGGAGTAGTTGAAGGATGGGTGACCTTTCGGGAAGTGGTTTCCGAAACCGTGTGAGTGAGGCCAAAACACGGGGAAAGGTCGGGTGTTGATTGCAGGGATAGTAAACAAGTCATTAGAGCCTCTCAAAAATAACGGACCGGCCGTCGGACAGGGGTGAGGCCCACGGGCCGAGATGGGCCTGGGGGCCCAAAGAGAGGGCGTGGGTGACTCACCGGGAGGGGCGGTCGGGGCGTTATAAGATCGAGAACAAACCATTTCATCCACAAAAAGAAAGCTTAGACCTTCACCAACATCTGCCTCCAAGGTATCCCACATCTTTTCAACTCTAACCAAAACCCTCCAATCAGAACGGTTAGGTGTCAACACGTTGAGTCTGGTGAAGTTTGCCATTGAAGATATTTTCTAGATATGGAGTTCTTAGTTTTCTACTCTGGAACATAAGTTCGGAGAACACTCTCCTTATATAGGGAAACAAATTAGGGTTGTCTTTGATTGGGACGGTTGATATTACTAAACGACGCAATGGTCAAATTTTTTTCATTTTTTATTTTTAATTTTATATATTTTTAACATTTTTAAATTCTGGTAACAATGATTATATCTATGGCTATTTTCCCGAATCTTCTTTACCAAACTTTCCGGATTTAATGTCATAGTTAATATAATATCATTTCATATATTAAATAGATCTTTAGGGATTTGACACTCTATTAATATAATGATGATTGCATATACGAAATAGTGCATGTAAAATCACTCAGATATGGTTATAGAAGAACAGATTCAAATATAGGAAGGAGATAGTTTAAAGATAGAAGAAACAGATTCAAAGATGATAGTAGATAGTTCATAGATAGAATTGTGAATCAAGCATAAACTGAAACAGTCAATAGTTCAAAAACAACATGGCAACAATCTCTTATGGAAATTCATACTAACAAAGTAGTATTTCATGGAGATACTACTACCACCTCCTCAACAGAGCCATCACTGTCATTGAAACTGCAAAAAAAATATGTTTAGCATAATTTGTATTAGTTACGATGAATGTTAACAACCAAAAATTAAGGAATGTAAAGATATTGTAAATAGATTTCTAACTTACTATTCAGCGCTGAAATCATAAACATCCTGATAATCAGCATTGAACTCAAATCTAGATATTCCTCCTGCGTCCTTAATCTTCAGCTCACCGGTTCCTATCATTTATTTTAACAGTTGATCGCAAGTAATGAAGTTGTAGACTCACTTTCATTGTAGTAACTATTTTGAAATGATGAAATTAAAAGATTGCATACTTTGTTCTCCGTAAACCATCCAGTCGCTCATTGTGATGAATGTTTCTGTTGTACCATGATACCACCATTTATCATATAGCTGATCCGCCAAGACTCCATAAGCTTTGCATTCCAGTGTTACACCACTAAATTCAATATGTTAAAAAACAGTTTAGTCTCAAAAAACGAAATATATCATAACGGGTAGAAGTCTGAATTAAGTCACAGACAATTTTGCTTCACTTACTCTAAGCCCTTTATCGTGAACATGACTCTAGAAGTCTTCTTGCCAGGAGCTAGTCTAAAGTTGTGGTCCTTCACTGTTTTATCTCTTCAACGTCATCCAGATAACCTATAAGATCTAGTTCCATTGAAAACATAATGTTAAATTGTCTGTGACTAACTCCATTAAAGATGTGCTTGTCTAACAGTAGTATACAATATGTCTCATTTGCACGAGTTAAAAATGTAGAGACGTATTCACTTACCGATAGGACGATGCGAGTTGTATACTCCATTCTTTATATCTGTGTAGTCCTTGAACTCCATGTAATGGTCTTGATGAACACCAGTTGACACATGCAGATCTGTATCCTCGGTGAAGATGATGGTATGATTATTCTCAGAGAAAAGTGAAGGAGGTGGTGTTAACTCAACGATGAATCCTGAGATAATCATCCAGTGGCCTTCGTGCAGATTGAAGTCGAAATCGTCATTGAGGCCAATCTCCGGACTAACCTTAGCAGGTATTTTTTCACCCTTTTCATTTGACAAAGTAGAATTGAATTAGTTGATAGTCCAGGTACGGATAAAACATTAGACCTATCTATACTAAAAAAACAATAGGAATTCTTAAACTTACATGTTCATCGACTAAAAGAAAACTCAATATGTCTCCACCTCCAAATATCATCTCCTTCCATTTTTTCAAAATCTTCACTCTTATTATATAATCATTCCGATGAGGAGAAAGCTCGGCGATCCTAGTAAAATTAGCCATGTTCTGAAAGATTTTCTTAAGTTTTCGTTTAGACCCTAATACATAAAGAGCTATTCATCTCCCTTATATAATTCCAGAATTAGGTTTTACCCTTTTTTGTTATGCCTCCTAATTTTTATGTAAACAAAATATTTCAGCAATATATTTGTTATGATTTTAATTTTTTATGTAAACTAAATATTTCAGTCATAGATTCGCATTGACTAATGTTTGTCAGTTTTGTCTTCTCTATGTAAACAGGAAAAGCTGTTTTCTTTATGGTCTAACACGCAAAGGGGAAAGGTATGAATTAACTGAATACTCGTAATGAATAAAATTTATTCTACTCGCATAACAGGTTAAAAAGTAAATATAAAGACAAACATTTATTAAGCTGATCAAACATATCTCCGATAATGGACTCAGTTTTGTTGAAAATGGGCCAAAATTGAAGAGAAAAACTTTAACAACATCCATACGGATGATTTAATTAGGTAAAAATGTCTATAAACGACAACGAAAACACAACAAACGACAGTCCCCAAAGATTATTTAAATATAGGCAGCATAGAAGCACGGGTCTAGAACAGTTCACTAAGTTGACTTTAAGTTCAACTTATTTTCCCTCCAAGTGAAACACATTTTTCAGGGAGACCAATCCAGCTCAACACTTGAACCATCACTCTCTATCCCTGTAGGGTCGCTCTCATTAAAACTGCACAGAGGTTGTTTTATTAGTTACAGAGAAAAATTTCGAGTCTAATGCTAATTGAAACATTCATCACTTACTATGCTGCCCTGAACTCATAAACATCCTGGTAAAGGGCATTGAACTCAAATCTAGAGATTCCTCCAGCATCCTTAATCTTCATCTCGTTGGTTCCTATACGTTGGAAACTTAGCTAGTCATTGATAGTCGATTGTACTCTATCTAGATGCTATCTTATGTAACATTCCATCTATACAGATGCAAAACTTCCTAAGCAACTGTGATAAATACCTCTGTCCGTGTAAACCATCCAATCACTCATTGTGATGAATGTTTCGGTTCCACCATGCCTCCACCATTTATTGTAGAGTTGGATACCCAAAACTCCCCTGGCTTCACATTCCAGTGTGCGACCTCTAAAGATGGAAAGTATATAAGTTGATGATAAAAGTCGCATTTACGCTTAATCTCATTTAAACCTAGGTAAAAAAATCATGAACTCTATCCACTATACTTACTCAAGATCCTTGATGGTGAATGTTACTCTTGAAGTTTGCATGTTATCACCTAGTGTAAAGGTGTGGTCTGTCACAACTTCTATTTCACCAACGCCATCTAGATAGCCTAGGAGATCTATTTCAAAGAATAGTTAGAGTGTATCTATATATTTTTTATGAAATATGAATATGACTATTGATTACTACTTCAAGATAATAAGTTTTCACGAACATTAATAATTGCTCGGTTAGTAAAAACATACCAATTGGATAGTTGGAAGTATATACTCCATTCATTATGGACCGGAAGTTCTTGAAACTCATGTAATGGTCTGTGATGACACCCCATGACCTCTGCAGATTAGTATTACCTGTGAAGATGATGGTATGGTGATTCATAGCAAAACGAAATCCAGGAGGTGACAACTCTACGGTAAATCAGTGATGATTTTCCAGTCGCCCTCGTGTAGCTGTTCATCGAAATTCTCATAGAGACCATTTTCTTGACTGACCTTGGCAGGTATTTTTCCATCCTATCGATTATTTCTATTGTTAAAAGTACATAAAAACGACTAATAGCAGTTCCTATCATACCGAATAAATCAAAATGTTAACAAAAAAGAATGAAGAAGATAAATAAACTTACGTGATCATCTACCAAAAGAAAACGCAATATGTCACCACCTCCATCTATCATCTCAGACCATTTCTTCAAAACTCTAACTCTTATCGTCCAACCATTCCTATGAGGAGAAAGTTCGTTGATTTT